CAGATTTGACAGGTAATTGAATTGGTTGGGCTTAAAGAATTAGCCTTAAAAAAAAAAAAGAAAAAAAAAAGAGACCGAGATAGAGACAGACACAGTAGGACTTTCATGGATGAATCTGACCGTAATTATAGTTTGTATTCTTCCAACAAGTCTTAGTATAGGCTCTTTGAGAAGTCTAGAGTGCGTGCTCTTACCTAGAGACGAGACGACGTACGATGTGTGCATGCACGCATGCATGCATGCATGCATGCACCCACCTCGTGTATAGCATAAATAAACGACGACTTCGCTGGGCGTAACTGACCGTAATTACGGCCAAATTCAATTCAGGATAAGGGTGCATGCTAGACGAGACGGGTGCATGCATGCAATTCATTCCTTTGCCTTTTTCTCATTTTGGGGGCGAGGGGATGGTGGTGGAGGTGGGGATGGGAGGAGGGTTCTCTGTGTGTGCGTGTCTGTGTGCCAAAGAGAGCGAGAGACAAAGAGAGAGAAAAAGTGATTTCTCATTGACTGCCCTGTCTCCCATAAAGCTTCCACTCTCTCCTTCCTTTTCTTCTTCCTTAGCTCGTCTGTCCGTCTTCCCGCGGGCTCTACCTTCTTCCTCCATAATGTCGTTCGTCTTCCTACTTCTCCTACGCCTTCCTCCATAGCCACGTCCCTCACCTTTCTCACCATATCTTTCTTCCTTCCTTTCCTCCCTTCCTAGACGATCCCTCCATAGCTTCTTTCTTCCATACCGCCGTCCATCACCTTTCCCATCATATCTTCCTTTCCTTCCTTCCTTTCCTTCCTTCCTTTCCTTCCTTCCTTCCTTCCTTTCCTTCCTTCCTTTCCTTCCTTCTTCCTTCCCTTCTTAGACGACGCCTCCATAGCTTCTTTATTCCATAACGCCGTGCATTACTTTTCCCACCATATCTTCCTTCCTTCCTTCCTCCCCTTCCTTCCTTTGCTTCCCTCCTTCCTTTCCTTCCTTCCTTGCAAGACGAAGCCTCCATATAGCTTCTTTCTTGCTTATTTTCTTCTGCTGTGCGGATGAACAACTTCGTGTCCATACAACTTCTCCATATCGTCGTCCATCCTCTTCCTCCATAGCTTCTTTCCTTCCTTTGCTTGCTTCCTTCCTTGCATTCCTTTCCTATACCTTCCTTCGTAGCTTCTTCCTTCTTTTCCTTTACTATACCTTCCTATATATCTCACGTCCGTCCTTTTTATTCCTTGCTTTTCTACACACCGCCTTCCTCCATAGCTCCTTTTCCTTCCTGTCCTACGCCTTCCTCCATACCTTATTTCCTTCCTTTTTCCTCCTTCCTACACCTTCCTCCACAGCCTCGCCCGTCCCTTGCCAATCCTTCCTTCCTACACCTTCCTACACCTTCCTACACCTTGTTTCATAGCTTCTTTCCTTCCTTTCTTCTCCTTCGAGGAAGAACATTCCATACCCATACACCTTCCTTCATCAGCATTCCTTCTTCTTCTTCTTCTTCTTCTTCTTCTTCTTCTTCAACATTCCTCCTTTTCTTCTTCTTCTTCTTCTTCTTCTTCTTCTTCTTTTTCTTCAACATTCCTCCTTTTCTTCTTCTTCTTCTTCTTCTTCTTCTTCTTCTTCTTCTTCTTCTTCTTTCCACCATCAAAATTCTTCTTCTCTTTCTTCTTCTTCTTCTTCTTCTTCTTCTTCTTCTTCTTCTTCTTCAACATTCCTATTTCTTCACTTTCACCTTCATCAACATTCTTCTTCTTCTTCTTCTTCTTCTTCTTCAACATTCCTCTTCCTTCTTCTCCTCCTCCTCCTTCACCTTCATCAGCATTCTTCTTCTTCTTCTTCTTCTTCTTCTTCACCCTCATCAACATTCATACTACTACTCCTTCCTCCTACTACTGTTACTACTACTGCTCCTTTCCCTACGATAAACGCATACAACTTCTCTTTTTTCATTTATCTTTTTAATAAGGGTAACGACCTTGTGTTATTACCGTCCAACACACCAGGCCCACGCAATTCATGAGGTCTTCTTAAATATTAACACGATATTACTTATTACTCATTACATGTTACTATATTCTAATGCCTTGCATTTTTTTATTTTATTTTTTTATTTTTTTTTTATTTTTTTTGGGGGGGGGTGGTAACTCTGTCCGGGCATTTCCTGTCCCACACACCCCCGGTGCTGGCCCGGCAATGGTTTCTTTTTTTTTTTTTCTTTTTTCTTTTTTCTTTTTTCTTCTTTTTGCTTTTTTCTTTTTTCTTTTCTTTTCTTTTTTTTTTTTTTATTTCTTCGTTTTTTTCCTCCCAATAGGATGAACGCTCAAAGACCCATCTTGGGCGAAAGAAACATTAGGTGGTCTTCAACGGTGGAAACACGTCGTGTATGCAAATATTTGCCCTAACCCGAGCTATGCCCCATCTACTACTATTTTCACCCGAATACAACGCCCGGTCAATATAGGTGAATCTAGACTGAAAATTGGCCCCAGACACAGCTATGATGACCTGGCGTTCTATTGGGGTGAAGAGGGTACTATATCACACATCCCCCTCTGAAAAAATACGAAATCACCTGACTCCATCCATCCATCCATCCATCCGTCCATCCATCGTTTCCATTTACCTTTCCACCTCTTATCCTCTTTATCAATTGATCTATCCATCTCTCTCTCTCTCTCTCTCTCTCTCTCTCTCTCTCTCATCTCCTTCCCTACTACATAT